GGCCGTGCTGCTGACGGCTCGGTCCCCTGCGGATTCTTTGAATCGGCCACCCGCCTCACACCGCCTCCTCACGGCATTCGGAGGCCTTCTCATTTCCGTATCCGGAGAAGTGGGGGATGTGCTGGTTTTTGGTTGGCATGAATTGTTTTGGGAAGCAAATACTCTGTTTATTAACAATACAAATGTTGAGATCTATATCTTTTATTCAATTGAGAAAACGGTTCTAATTTCTTTTTTAACGGCCTCGAACGGCAGGCTCTGATGATGATCGCTACGCAATCGGAAAGTTTTAAGTATTTAATATCTTGATACCAAAGCATCTCCTTTTTCTCAATTCATTGATATTCTTTTAGAGTTTGTTTTTGTTCGACATGTGATTCACGTCATCAAAAGTATTTGTTATATTTGAATCTTTTATTTACGTCAGGATCCGTTTTGAAAAGGTTTGTTAAATTTCTAAGTATCACATTATTACGTTCTCGTTATGCAACAGTCATTTAATTGATTTGAAAATGTAATACGTTTTGTCACTGACTGCGAATAATCATGCGACAAAATCGATTGTCGCATGATTATTCGCAGTCGACAAAAAATTGTTTAGAACCAGAAATTTAACAAGATCTCTTGAATGTGCGTGTATTGTTGCTTTTATCGAATTGTCATTGACAAAATCAAAGAAATCTAATTGAGACGGAGCCCCCTCCTTCCCGTAAGGCAGGGGCCCTTTTCCACCTTCGTATTTCTGGGGTTAATTATATTGCAACGAGAGATGACATGCGGAGAGCCAGGAAGCCACGGCACACGGTATTTAAACCAACGAGCGTATCTTTACTATTTGCACTCGCAATAAAACACTACGAGAATCGTGACATTACTAGTTGAAGAAGGGTGATTGTGTTTCTTCAAGCTTCTGGTCATTACCACGAGACAGGTGCCAGTCGATGCTTGGCTTTGCCTTCCTGGACGTTTCAATTTTGCCCTACTGCACGTGCAATACGCGTAGTAATCTCACATTAATTCTTGCTTAAGGAACCAGCAATTGCTCACGACTGAAATATTTAAGTTCAAATAATTGATGCTATTATGTAATGTATGCCGTGATGACACACGTCCTTAATAGTTTTGTTCCAGTGATAATGATTGGGTATTTGAAATGCAAGTCTTATTTCTTCTTGTGTAATTGGTCGGTGAATATTTTTGAAGACGACCGAAAATCTTTTAATTGTCGGATCTTCATACGTGAGGAACTATCATTTCGTTTGTATGAGATATTTGATGGATTTTCTGAAGTCTGCTATTGTTATGCACATTAATTTAATTCAGTTGCCTTTATAATGTCAATTGGCTGGTGGGTTTGAATTCAGACATTTTGTTGATGTTATTTACAAAAATGTGCGGTTTTCATTTTGGTACGAACATACAAACTCCAATATTTTGTCTCTGATAGCTTCCCTAGCTCGACAAATCTGTTATTCACTGTTATTGCATATCGAGTGGTTGGTATCTTTTTTTTTGGAGAGAGTTCTAATTCTCCTAAACATGTATTCAGTAACGACTCAAATGTTCTTGACGGAAACACGTGCTTGGCCGCTAGCTGCATCGTTCGCTGAGCTGAGATGACAGACCTGAAGGTTTCCGGTCCAAGAGTGTACGTGCAGTACGTGTTTTAAGTTCTATTTCAACTTTTGTATTTTACGAGACATTGAGGTAACTTTGTTTTTTAATGGAACTACATATTTTAGTGTGTAGTGACGAGAATACAACGACGAATACAATTATATTAATATTGTTATATGTTAGGCATTTTTTAAATTATTTCGATTGTTTTGCTTCAGCTTTTCTTGCCCGAACGCGCGGTAGAGAGGGAAGTGCTGCATGACCTTGGGTGGCGGACTATTACATATAAAATTTCCGTTAAACACGTCGCAAAAAATAAAAATTACTGAAAAAATGTAATGCAAAAATGCAATTCAATGCAAATCAGTTCATATTCGAAATAGTCTGGTAAAGGATCAATATCAGTTCATTGTTTTAACGACATTCAGGAAAATTGCAAACATGTTGTATTTAAAGAATTTCCTTTACTCTCCTCCCTGTGGTTTGCCCACATGCTCTTGCGTCCCTGACGAGGTCGCGTACTATTGCTCATCCCACTCGATCGTCTGGATTTAAAGGCAGTGCTATGTGTAAATGAAGTTTTAATTAGCACTAATTATCGTGGCATAAAATATTTCGGTTTGGTGAGTACATTTACCAAAAGGTTTACCATATTCTAATAAACGAAAATTTATTGTTCAAAAAATTACAATCACGTATTTTCCGTTTGTTCTACGTGTAACTCATGTATTTTCATTCACTTTGCACTCGTTTTGAGTGATTGAGTTGCAATGTAATACAGTATTCTTTAATGTGTTGTTTTATTTAACTGAAAAACCTATTTTACTAGGACGTTTTATGTATTAAACCAATTCGTTTGATTGTGATGAAATGTTATAACACTTATGTCAAAAAGTCTATTTAAATAATGTGGTGTCTCAGGTTGGTAATTTTCTTTTCGGTTATATCAAAACTGTACGTACGTGTATCGAGCGATGTGTTTGAGAAAACATATGGAACATTTTAAATTATGATCGGCAATATTTAAAAAAAGACAGACTTTTGATTGATATAATAATTAAAATGCAACCAACAGCAACACGGGGCTACGGTTAATGGCGCCTTGACGGTTTTTCACTTCTATATCAATATGCCAATCGCACTCCAGGGAAGCCTCATACGTTACTAGTTGGACTTTTGTGTGGGTTGGGTATTGTTATGGGTGGGATTGAGGGAAGTATAATGTGAGTTAGAAGGAATAAATACATTAGTCATTATGTGGGGTTAATACACCCTGAAATTAAAAGTCAAGGAAATACAGGCTATGGCATGATTGATAATAAATTTGTAATGTGCTTAGTAAGAAATTTTATTAATTGGTGATGTTGGAATAAATTACTTTAATGAACTCATTCCTTTCGGAGGGTAAGTATTCAATGATGTCAGCGCAACAAAATATTTGTTTATTGGAAGTTCTATACAACATAATCTTACTTAAGAAATACCTTTACAAAATATATTACATGTGAGGAATTATGTACACTAATAACTAATATCATAGGAGAGAATAGATTTTCATGATACACATGTATAAAATAATATGGTGCAAGGCATATCATATTAAATTCAAGTAGTATACATAATTTAAAAACTACACGATCTAAGTGATAAACGCGATAAGAAATTAGCTCAGACCGATACACATACCAAAACAAATACAATTGTTGGGAGACATCACTGTTTGGAATACCCTCTTCAGTATTTTCAGTTTAGCAATAATCTAAATACATTCATTCACAACATAGGACTAGCACAATCTTCATTATTTTAAAATTCCTGCTCGTATATACAAATTATAAAACCATAAGTGAGTTTATGTGAAGACTATGTTTCTTACAACAGAACATATTGCTTGAAAAGATTTTTAAATAGATACTGCCAAGTCACATATAAAAACTACTTATGTCATGATATTTCACTTCTTTCAAAAAAATGAATTGCTTCAATATAAAATGATAGCAATATTTCATCGTTATACAGTTTTCTTTTTAAAAATATGTTTTTGTCAGTGGCCCAGCATTATCCGTCTAAAATCCTTCCTTGGCTGGTCTGGAGGACGTGGCAATCACTCTGTGAATTGTGATCGTGAAGAGAAACTTGAGTTGTTCTCAAGCAGGCCTGTGGGGGCACATAAGCTGCAGATGAGGACAAACCCATCGGCCGAGCCAGGCTACTTGCTACCACCATTATAAGCTCAGCACTTGATACTGTGGTCTGTCCTTCCAACCATTGCACAGTCACTGCATTTAAGCCAGCATTTATGTGGTCATTAAACATTGTTGAATTGTGCATATGTGAATGCGCAAGAAGTTTCACATTCTCTATTAGAGCAGTGTTGTCTGATATTTCTATGAACTGGTTTTCTAATTATTGGTTATGTTCCAAATTTCTTTGCAGAAGCACAGTCACGTTGCTGGGAAGTGGAAAAGACTATTAAGGAGATTATATCAAACAGCACATACCACCAAATGTCTGCCTTTGGAGGGCACATCAATTATCATCACACATAACATTCTCACTAACAGCTGATACTAATTTTTTCTACAAAAAAATCTATTTTCCCGATATGTACTTTTCAAGAGAGGGGGAACTATATGTATTTGGGGATAAAGGGATGAAAGAAGCTGTGCTTCTGTTACAATTTGTAATAACCAGTATTAAATTTGTATATGGTACAATTTATGCACAAGCCTGGCTCAGCATTGCCTGAAGCACAAACCCTTCATTGCCGTAAAGAATACTTACTATATGGGTATAATTTTCTTATACTAAATGTACGCTTTCAGAATAATATCAATGCTATTGACCATTCAAACAGCCTTAAATCCAACAATTTAACAAACTTATCATGTATGATGTTCTACATGAAATATAGCATTGTTAAACAATAACAATCTTGTTTTTAATGCTGCAGTTCTTTCAAACAAAATGTCCAACGGGGCACAAATTGAGGAATTGCCCGAACTTGGATTTACAAAATAGCATCATCGATTAGCCCACAAACCTCAGAGCTTAAATACCTGTATACCATAACTGCAGCTAATACCTAGGTTTCCTCAAAGCAATTGATCCATCTTGCTTCGTAGAAATGTCCAAACTGATATTGAATTGCTTATTCTAAATATTAATAATATGCCGCACTTATTCATTTAAGCAGCTAGTGACAAAATTTCCAAAATTTAATCTTTGGTTTAATGACATTTGTTGCTTCTTTTGAAGTGCAAAATTTAAAAACAAATAAACTGTAATTGAAGAATTATCGTCAAGATCAGTTTGCAAATATCTACTCTGAACAATGCTCTCAGAGAGGAGAGACAATGTGTTCTGTACAAAACATTTAATGTTTTCTCGCTTTACAAAATTACTTTCCAGAATATATTTAAATTATACATTCAAGCACATTCTTTTCACCAGACAGACAGGTGACTAGACATATACACATTGCATAAAAAAATACAGTAAAGATATCAACTGCTGTATATTGACCTCGGTCAAGGACATCAACATAACTGATGCAGCACAAGGATGTATTTCACTAGTACAGCCTGACACATCAGATGCTAGATTGTTGGTTATATTAATTCTAGCGTATAATGACACACCTTACATATAGGTATATCTGATATGAATAATCATTGTTATAGAACGTTCTTACAACAAATCTTAGGTCTGTGGCCACAAACAATACATAACAAATACTGTTTATATGAATGAATAGGTAACATCACTACCCAGGTAGTTCGGTCTACAGAGGTCTATGCATTTGGTATATTTTTTTTACATATTTCAGTCACAATACATTTACGATCATAATGTGAACATAAATATTTAATGTTTGAATCGCCTACTTTGAGAAACCTTGGCAAAGGAGTTTCTCGGTACGTGTTAAATGGAAGTAAACATAATCCAGTGATTATAACGGAAGGTGCCACTGTGAATAGTAATATTCTTATTTGTAGTATAGATGTAAACGAATACCTATTGTAAATTCTGAAGGTTTATTGGGCGTTCGATTCGCTTTTCCTTGAAAAACATGTGTAGACTAGACTAATACATCTGTAATTGATCTCCTAAATGAACTAACTGATTAAGCTAGTGGACTTTTGCATAGGGAAGCGTTTGGAAAGTAGAGCTTACTAAAAGTATTCAAGGGTCACAATGTTTATGTTCTGAAATTTTGCTCAGAATAATAAATTGCATCCCGCAGAAGGAATGAAACATACTCCCAGTTCCCGGATTACTCAAACAGGTATAAACCTCCAAGCACAGTTTACAAAAGTTTGTACAATATATATATTTATCTGTGTTATGAAGTGCCACATTTTATTCGGATCTTGACGTTGCTGTCTAGTAATCTAGATTTTTCAGCCATCCAGTTCTTTGTTTTGTTGAGACATACTTCTTACTCGTAAACGCTTTGCAAAACATATCAAAACGTCAGCCTTGATGTACAATTTTATGATTAATAAATAATGTACCTATTATGTAAAACGGGGGGGGGGGTCATGGACATTTATACTTTTGTAGCTGAAATAGAGGCTTATCTTACTAGTCTAGTCTTTCATTGGCATTCTTTACAGCAAAAGGATCATTGATTTTAACGCGCAGATGCGGTTGCAATTTCAAATATCAGCGAAGAAGTTGAAGAGTACTGGTGCACGTTCAGTTCACGTGGTCAATTTTTAGTGCCGAGAACAATTTTCTGTGGGGAGAGCTATTAGCAGAAATGCCGTAAAATGTGTTCGAATGCAAGATAATTTTGCTTTCATAAAGAATGCCATCGGTAGCCGAGTGTACAACAGATTACACCTTGACTACACGACTTAACTCCTACGTTGAAATCAGTATCATTTTCGAAGAATTAGACTATTTGTCCAGAGACAATAGATTCAAGATCACAGGATCAATGTACAGGATGAGCCCTGTTAACTGATTCTATAGAAAAAGACTATGTCAAAGAAGTTTAACCCTGCTTTTATGTAAATGCTTGTAATTGAGTTGCGCCCTAGGGCAGCGGGAGGTCCGTGAAACAATGCGTCTAGTAGTAGAATCCTCCTCGTCCGAAGGAAAGATAGGGAGATGAGAGATCATCACTGGCCCACCACGCGTTCACCAGCCCACTCGTTCACAGCTACTACGAAATGACCAAGTCGCCGCTGTGCGCGGACAGTCTGTGGCTCTCCTTGCGGCCCCTGGAGCCCGACCGGCCGCCGCCGCCGCCCGTGCCTCCGCCCCCGCGCGGGCGCGCGGACGGCGGCCGCGCAGCCTGGACCGCCCGCGCGGGCGAGCCAAGGGCGCCCCGACTGCAGGCGCCGCCGCCCCGCATGCCCCCGCCGCCGCGGCGGTCCCGCCGCGCCGCCGCCCCCGGCGGCCCACCGCGCGCGGGGGGCGCACGTAGTTCCACGAGGTGTCTCTTCTGACGCAGCTGCGCACTGTACCACGAGCGTGGCGGGCTGGGGCGGCGTTGCGTGCGGAGCGGGCGGGGCGGGGCGAGCGGCCGCAACCGCCGCCCTCGGCCACGGGCCCACGCGCCAGTGCCCAGCGTGGCGCCACGCCTGCCTACCTGATGCCGCCGCTGCGGCCGCCGCCGCCCCCCCGCCTTGCCCGCGCTCCCCCGCCGCCCAAAACCGCAAAAAAAAAAAAAAACCCCCTCGTCAACCCCGCTACGAGTTCGTGCCCCGTCCTTCAACAGCCTGCACCAGCGCACCACCATCCACCACGGCGGAGCGGGGGCGGGCCCCGCCGGCCACGCCCACCCGCACGGCTCTACGCGCCGGCCCAATCGCCGCGGACCATGTTCTTCCACGTTCCGGGCCCCGCCCGCCTTCGGCAGGGACTTCGTCTCTTCGATCCGGACTCGGCTACAGCCATAACCACCACATCAAGGCGCGGCGCGGCGGCCGGCGCGCGCGGGCGAGAGGGCACGGGGCCGGCGGCGCGGGCCGTTTCGGGCTTCCAATGGGCCGAAATTTTTTTAAGGAAAAAGAAAAAAGAGAATAAAAAAAAAATAAAGAATCTCTC